GAAAATTACTTCATTGGACTTCCTGAATCATCAAAGAACATTCTCACTTATGGTTCCCTTCTCAACTGTTACTGCAAGGAATTGATGACAGAAAAAGCAGAAGCCCTAATAGAAAAGATGAAGGAACTCAACCTTCCTTTAAGTTCCATGTCATACAATAGTCTTATGACTCTTTATACAAAAATTGGCCAGTCAGAAAAGGTCCCAGGCATTATACAGGAAATGAAGGCCTGTGGTGTCACACTGGATTCCTTCTCCTACAATGTCTGGATGAGAGCTTTGGCTGCTTCAAATGATACTTCTGGGGTTGAAAGAGTCATTGAGGAGAGCAAGAGAGATGGACAAGCTGATGATTGGACCACTTATAGCAATTTAGCATCAATTTATGTTGACACTGGCTTATTTGAGAAGGCGGAAAACGCACTTAAGGAACTGGAGAGGAAGAATGTCCTGAAAGATATTTCTGCTTTCCAATTTCTACTTACATTGTATGGGCGAACAGGAAACTTGGTTGAAGTTTATCGAATTTGGCGATCTTTAAGGCTGGCTTCCTCTAAAACAGCCAATATAAGCTATCTGAACATGATACAGGTGCTAACCAACTTAAAAGATTTACCAGGTGCAGAGAAGTGCTTCAGGGAATGGGAATCTGGCTGCTCAACTTATGATATTCGGATTGCAAATGTATTGATGGGAGTTTATGCCGAGCAGGGCTTGATAGAAAAGGCTCAAGAGCTGAAGGAGAGGGCTCATAAGAAAGGGGCCAAGCCTAACGTTAAAACCTGGGAGATCTTTTTGGATTATTATCTCAAAAATGGGGACATTAAGTTAGCAGTTGATTGTGTAGCCAATGCAATTTCCACTGGTAGAGGGAATGATGAAAAGTGGGTTCCATCCTCTGAGACTATTGGGACTCTGATGGAGCATTTTGTGCGAGAGAAGGATGTTGATGGGGCAGAAGGTTTTCTGGAGATTTTGAAGAAGGCCATAGATGATATAGGGGATGAAGTGTTCGAGTCATTGATAAGAACTTATGCAGCTGCTGGAAGGACAAGCCCTAACATGCATCGTCGATTGAAGATGGAGAAGGTGGAGGTGAGTGAGGCAACAAAGAAGTTGCTTGATGCGATAAGCACAGAGTGAGTTTCACTCCATTTTTGTTAACAAAATCCAATTCCTGGAGTTGTGATTTTGAATGGTTTTACTACATGTTATTTTCCAAATAATACTCTTGTTTACCATGTTGAATTGATACATGGTGTGATCTTTCCAGAAATGTCCCTTGGATATGCCTCTGTGTTATGCAGAAATTAATAACTTGTTCATGTTCATGTATTATCCAATCTTGAGATGGGATCCATTTAGCCTTTGTCCTATTGATCTGAAGACCCTGTTGGACTTATTATAATTGGTACTATAATTCAAAGCTCACATGTAGGCACGTAGCCTCTGTGCTACTTTTAAGTTTTCTGAGTGAGGAAGATACTGCACGAAGAACTTGTTTGAGGTTTCTCTGCATGGTGCGTTAGTCAATATATATACTTTCCTTATCTGGGAGAGTGGGATTATAGAACATAGGTGACGTGTGGATTTACTAGTTACTTTCCCTCTATTTTCCTTTCCTCCTACCAAACACAATGTTAGATTCATTCATTGCCAGCAACCATGGCAGAGGTCGGTACGCTCAATTAATATGAGGTAGTAGTACAGCTATCACCTGGATCATCATGGGATTTCAAAAGCTACATCTAAAAGCTTTTCCAAAGTCAGCAAATACAACTCCTCGACACGTTGTGTATTGGCTTCTGGCTCAAGTAAAGCTAATATTTTGGATATAATGAATGCTTACATTATTAGAATCACCGACTCTACTTTCTCTCCATGGCTCCTTTTTCTCTTTTGCCGGCCATATGGCTGTACAATAAATTATTAAAGCTACGTAAAAATAATAAATATATTTGATTCGATTGTTAAAAGTAATTAATAATAGATAAAACATTTGATATTTATTATTTAGTAATTTAAAATTAATTTATAAACTAATGTTTTTAAGTACTTAACAATTATAAATTGATCAAATTAGATAAACTATACACACTTACAATATTTTGTGTGGCTATAACATGGCCTTCTTTTGCTATTTATCCAGTAGTTTCTATCACCTTCTTAGTTAAACATAGATGATGGGGATACACTCTACTTTTAAGCTGGTGAAGCGTGACTTTGTTTGCAAAGCTTTAACCACATATGTCCTACTTGGTGTCAAGCAACTCTCAATTTTGAGGACATTTTTATCATCTTTGTTTTATAATATGGTCAATATGATTAACAAAGTCTTAAGGAGTAGTTTATTAATTAAGAGTTTGAAATTCCTATTTAAAATTCTTAAGTTCAAATCTTAAATAAAGTAAAAAAAAAAATTTTTAAATAAAAAAAAATTATTATTTTATATAATTTATAATCAAATATATAAAAAATTGGTGATATATAAAAGATCTTCGAATTCATAAAAAGTGTAAAATCGTCCAAAAAAAAGCAGAAAAAGGAAAGAGAAGTCACAAACATGCTGTGTATCCACTATAATTTCATCGTTCTTTTTTTCCCCCAACATTTACATAAGCCCCTAAAGGTAGTGTGATCAATGGATCAACTGTTAGTCGAAATGACATTTATAAAAAGGAAAAAAAATGGGTTAACAGGTAAAGTAATTCTAAGAATACCCCAAACTTTCTTAACCCAAATCACCCAACCATTAGGGGAAAAAAAAACTATATATTAACTTATAAGGGACCAAAATGTGAAAAATGAAAACCTTAGACTCTATACCTTTCCCTTTAGGGACACTTGACGTTTCTTCCAGGACCTCCATAGTAAAAATAATTCCCCCAAACTCTGTTAATTCCTCCTTGTATATCATAACAATTGGGATTATCTGCCAAGACTTGTAAATTTGAGGGGGGTATCAAGTTATTATCCCAATCAACAACTTGCAAATTCCGAAAATAGGAGGCCTTTCCAAAACCCTCTTCTGCAAAATGCCCACTTCCCATTTGGGTTGAAGTGTGAAAGCCTCCTTCTCTTGAATTTACAATTTCTCCCCCAAATTGAACCATACTTGCATGATCCCTAAGGTGGGTAAACAGAAATGATGGCCAGTACCCAACTAGATTCCCGGATCCGAATTCCAGCCACCAATTTCCATGCTTTGGATCCTACAAATATATAAAATTTAAGTATAATTAAAAAAATATATATATATATGATCTTCTATTATAACACAAGAAAGTATCATTTTGAAAAAAAAAAAAATGATTACTCTTATTGTGTAACCTGCCATGTGATAATAAAGGATACCTATTGAGTGTTGTGCTGAGGTTTATGTTGTATTTGAAAATTAAACGGTAATTGATTAACAAAATTTACCTTCCAAACAAGTAAGCTGATATCAAATTGTCCCCCATTGTATGATGATGTTGGAGATATTGCTGCTCCAATTGCAATCCCATTGTTGGTCTGAACGAAGCCTGAACACAACAAATTATAGCATCCTGTGGCCTGGTACGCATCCGACTGCAGAATAATTTCACATATAATCATTATTTTATACTTTCACTTTAAGATTAAGCTACAGTTAAAGCATATAAGCCAAATCTGATCCATTCGTATCTTTTAAGATTCAGTCATAAGATATATGGGTGATCTGTTTAAAAAGATAATGATTTCCACTCATCTTAACACTCAAAAATAAAAAAATAAAAAAAAATTAAGCATATAATTTTTTTTTTTTTAAAAAAATATCATACTTACTGTCCAATATGTAAAGAACCTAGGATAGTTGTCCCCATACAGCTCTGGGCTAACCTGTACGCAAAATTAAATGAATTTAATCAGCATCCTTAATTTCAGCATGAGAGGTAGTTGGGGCTGTGTTTATTTGGTTGCCTTAAATGTGAAAACAAATTATTGGAAATAATACATGAAAAATGATTTGTGGGCAGAAAAATCAAAGGCCAAAATCTTTTTAGTCATTGATCATGCTGAGTCTGCATTTTAGCCTCTGATTTTAAGTCTTGAAATCATTTCTCATAAAATAAACTTAAGGTCCAAGGTTCAAATTTCCTCTTACCTTAAATTTTTTATGGTTTTTGAAATTTTGAAAAATGATATTGAATGGTATCTAAATGTAATTAAATTGAAAACAATGAGAGGAAATAGTGAAAGACATGCATGCCTGCCAGCCAGCTTCAATGGTGTTAAGGTCATCCCCAAATGTACCAGAGATGATCCACATTTGTGATAGGCTGAATTCATATTGATTTGCAACCATGGGTGACCACACATTCATGCTAGCTTTTGCTCCATAATATTGTTGTCCATTAACATACCCAACTGCATGCTGTAACATAAAATTTACAAACAAAAAAACCATAAATTTTCAGGAACCTTTCACTTCTTTTTTAAAAACGTCACTATATTATGATATATCTTATCTTGCCTTTGAATAATTTAAGATGAATAAAAAATTCTTTTTTACATTAAAATAAGTAAATTTATTAAAAATTCTACCATAGATGATCTACCTTAAAAAAAAAAGGAAGTGAAGTTGGAGTATAAGCAAGGTGAACTATGGAAGTCATTCGTCACTTTAAATTGGAAGGCCAGTGTTCTAAATGTTTAATTGAAGGAACAGAGAGCACCTAAGACTCGAGTCTAGAGATGAATTTAGAAAAGGAGAAAGTTGATCGGTTTATCCTCTTTTATATATTATATTATCAAATGTACTTCAAAAAAAAAAAAAAAACATAGCCGCTAGGATTTTATTTTATTCTGCTAAAAAGGACACTGTAATTGTTCTGGTTATGTTGTGTGCCTCTGTTCTTTCTGCTTGTCTGAATGAGACATGTTCTTCAACTAATACCGTCTTGTCTAAGGAGAAACCAGAAAGCTGTAATTCATGTTTGGAGAACGGACAATGAGGACAAAACACAATGAAAGGGAAAGGAGAAGAAAATCCCAGAAAAACAATTACAAAAATTGAAAAAGCAGTTTTTTGTATCCTCACTCTTTATTATCTTTATTATATAAAAGAACAAAGAAAAAGGGTCTAAAAGAAGCAGACAATTATCAGGCCTTGTTTTTCCATTTCTTTGACCAATTCCTTTTGAAAATTTCAGAGGAAGAAAAAAAAAATGGGAGGAAAACGAAAAGGAAAAGAATTCTAAGATTAATATTTTCTGCCTTTTTTTGAAAGAAGAGGAAAATATTTACCTCATGATCACTGCTAGTTGAATCTTTTCTAACATGTCTTCCTGCTTTTCTTCCAAATCTTGTTGAAGAACTCGCTCGTAACATATCCTTTTCTGTTGTTCTTCTGATTGGAATTGTTCCCTCCGGACATGATTCGCCGGAGAAGCTCCATAATTGGAAATCTACGGCCACCATGTTATTCAGATTATGTCCTCTTGGTCTCACAGGTGGATCCTGCAAATTCAAGTACAAAAATGAAAAAAAAAAAAGATGTCTGAATCTTTAGAATTGCAGTGTTTTTGAATATTACAGGACGAGAAAATATGGTTATCTCTCTTTTACCAATGGTTTCCGTCCTTTTAATTTAGGATGATCGAAAGCTGGTTGCTGATGAGATAATACGCAGTCTATAATGTCTCCATCAGGACTCTGCAAAAACAGAGGAAAAAAAATGAAAAATTTAGCTCAAACCAGAGTAAAGAACAGTACAAAAACAGGGGATGATTGAATCCGAGGAAAACTTGCCTGAATTGTCTTAACAGCGGGCTTGTTGATCTTCTTGAGATGTTCTCTTATTATCTTTAACTTCTGTAATTCTTCTTTCGGTTGGAAAGTTTGATTGGTGGCATGGAGGTTGCTTGATTCCGACGAAAGGACAGGACAAATGGAAGAAGAAACGAGAAGAAAGAATACAAAAATGGGAATGATTGGGGAGGTTTTGGAGAAGCTAGAATCCATGGTTGAGAGATTTCCTTGTGTTTCTGTTTGTGTGCATTGGTGTTGTCTTCTTCTGTAATCAAAACAACAACAGCATTTAGTTTTCCTAGTTTTTGCCCTTTGAAGCACAGCTCCCACAAAATCCATCCAACTCAAGATAGCAATTCTAAGAAATTTCAGCTCATTCCCTCGCCATTCCCAAAGCTATTGAGCTAAAGAAAGATGAAATTTTGCTTCTTCTTCACAAAGAGTTTCTAATTTCTTGATTTTCTATGTTTCTGAATCTGACACCCTGAACTTCCAAGAATTAGGCTGAATGGAGAAACTCAAAACAAATGGGGTTGAGTTTTCTTAAAGTTTTGCCCATGTGGGTGTGGGGATATAAATACTGGGGGAGTGAGGAAATGAAGCTTGGAATTTTAAAAAATATTGGAAGAATTTGGAAGAGAGATAGAGATGTGTGAGAGGGTGTGTTTCCAGTCTCCAATACAAGGACTGAAACTTTAGCTTTTGTGTGTTAATTTTATAGGGCAAAATGGGACAGATATACATTATTCTTTACTTTGGGCCTGAGGACAGAAACAGATACGAATTACACTTGATTCTGGGTTTCCAAAGTTCTTTGCTTTAGGGGCTTCTCTTTCTCACTTCCCTAAATGTTCCTTGTGTCAGCTACCCTCGACGTGGTGGGGAATTTTTTTTTTTTTTATCTACCATTTTCTACCATAATTTTTTAAAAAATAAAGCCGAACCACTTTGCTTTTTCAATAAATCTCTTTATGTCAATAATATTCTATATATAGATAATTTGACCCAAAAACAAAATACCTAATGAAAATTTAATTGGGTTGAAAATCAATAACTTTAAAATAATATTAAACTCCAATATTTGTGACTGCAGTGCTAGCTACAATAAGTCCTTGATTAGCCAAAATAACTCTTTTTAAAAATAAACTGCATTTGGTTATTAATCAGCAAAGATCACTTAAAATAACAAAATAAAAATATTGAATTTTGGCCAATCAATGGCGGAGTAGATGCAATAGAAGAAATTATGTGCTTATTAAACATTCTAACCTTCTATTGTAGTAAGAAAAAGAAGGAAAAAATTATACTTTTTTTATACATAAAATGACAGATTATATATAATGAAAAATAATTCTTTTATTTCTAAACCTCTTCTCACTCATTTCATAGTTTAAATTTAAAATCTCTCATATAAAAATTTAAAATTTTAATTATTGAAATGTCCTAAAAAAATTATTTGCTTGTTTAACCCAAACTCTAAGAAGTTTTCTTTTATATAAAAAATAAAGCTAACTAAACATAGTTTTGTGATAAAAGTTTAATATTTTTAAAGTTATTTTTAACTTTTGAAAGACAGAAATAGAAGTTTCAAATTTGTTACTTACGAAATAGGCTCTTTTTTTTTTTTTTTTGTTAAGCTTGTAAATTTCATATTTTTTAATCAATTTTTAAGATTTTTATTTTATATGAAATCATAATTTATAACTTCTAAAAAATATCATATTTTCAAATAAAATTTCTACAAAAACTAATCAGGCCGGCCAAAGCAAGTTTATGAGTCTTTCATCTTATTATTTTGATTAATTTATATGTTGACGAAGGTGGTCAACTCTTACGAATAATACTATTAAGAAAATTGTTGTGATCTCACTTTGTGTGTTGGAGGGATCTTCATATTAATAGGTAGTACTATTAAAAAAGGAGAAGCTAGGGCGGCTACGGTTTGGTTTAGATTATAAATGAAATTGAGTTATTGATTAACTAAATTATCGGTTTTGATTACTTTTACTTTAAAAATAATTATTTGGTTTGGTTTCAATTTAAATCAAAAAAATCAAATTTAGCCCATACGTGGTATAGTAATGGGCGGCCACAAGAGGGTCGGACCTAAAAAATATGTCATAAAGTATAAAATATAAAAAAAAATTTAAAAATGTCTCCAAAATTTTGAAAATGGGCAGGAAGTCCTAAAAATTATTAATTTTTTTTAAAGTCCAAAAAATTGATTATACTCCACCTAGTGCCAAGTTTTTGGTTTTTAAACCCTAATAACCAAAACTCATCTAACCAAATTTAAGTTAAAAAAATCTAAAACTCATTCAAAATTAACACATTAATTATGATTTTAATTAAATAAAAGATGAAGTTTTCAATATTAAAACATTATTTATATTTAATAATTTTTATTTTATAATCTAATACAATCCCCTACAAAACAATAAACATTTTTAGTTGATTTCAGTGTTTTTTCCCTGTTACAAATTTTTTTGCCCACACCTACGTGAACTTCTCTTTTAAGTTGTCATTTTCCTCATGAGTCATGAGAAAGACGGTTTCTTAAATGCTGTAGGTACCAGGCAGGGGCCTGGTGACTGTTGAGTGGTATATTGGCACGCGTAAGTGGTTATGTAAAATTAAATCTTGCATCTGCATGCTTATGCCGACACCCATGCCATGCACTTTGATTTCTTCACAATTTCGTTTGTGTCTCGTTTTAATTATGTTTTCGGCTCACCTATTTTGATTCGTCTTGTACTATGGGGTTCGGTACATGTTTTTGTATTTTTTTTTATCTTACCTAAGTTGCTTGTCCCAGCAGAAATTCTTCCAAACAGGCTAATATGTCATTACATTATTGAACAAAAATTTTGTTGATATGATAACTCGTTTGTATAAAAGTATTTATCTTAAATTACAAGTTACATACCATTCAATGCAAAAAATGAGGAAAAAGGGGAATTTTCAGTATGGCCGACCTAGTTGTGGAGTGTGATTGAGAATGCTAACAGTGCCGTACACTGTAGAGTAGAGTTTAGTGCCCAATTGTAAGTCTAAATGATTAAAATGTGCAATTGGTATTGATAATCTTCAATATATATGAGTTGGGGGTTTAATTTTAACAAAAATGTCATGTGTAATTTTAATTAGTTAGTTGATATTATTAAAGTTAATTTTAATTTTTGAATATAATTTAATAAATAAAAAATATATTAATTACATTTTTAATCTATACTAAAATACATATTAAAAAATTCTTTTAATATTTAATAAATTTCAAGTTTTGCTTTATTAATTAAAGGTTAAGTCAAGGTTGGTAGCTTTCCGAGTAAAAAGGGGTTCCTCATTGAGCAAAGTTCAACCATTTTTTCATTTTGATGTCAAAGTCTTCCCGCTAAACAAGTTTAAGAGGTGAATTAATTCACGGCATACAAAATAAAGCTTAATTACTCGTAATAAATTATTATAATTGCTATAAGAAAAAAAAATTAATAAATATATGATTATCTCCAACCACTTTTATTTGCTACATGTTTTCTACTAGCTCAATTGCATATGCATTTATTTAATGGGTCTTGAAATTTATAGAGTTATTTTACCAATCACAAACCCTTCCTCTTTTATTTATTAATAGTTTTTTAATTAGAATAAAGTTAGAATAAAAGCATTAAAATTATATTTGGTTCGAAGAAAATAAAATTTTTCTCTCATTTTCTCTCATTTTATTTGAATATTTTAAAATTTAGTAAAGGAATTTAAAAATAAAAATAAAAAAACTTCATTCCTCGTCTTCCCTTCCAAACTTTTTTGATAATTAAATAAAAAAACTTTTCTCTCTTCCCCCTCTCTATTTCCTTTAAATCGAAAATACTCTAAATGCCTTCTTGAAATAGAAAATGGGACAATTCACAACTGGAGATGGATGAAAGGTGACAGAAGGGTTTTGATTTTTGTGAGGGCACCACCAAGGCTGGACTTGCTTTTTCCTGTCCTCTAGTCATCTTTTTTAGGGCTCAAGCAATGATGCCTGCCACTCCCCTGGGACCTCTTTATGTCAGAAAATTTCTCTAATTCTTATAGAATTCCTGCGGAACTCACCCACCTGTACAAATAAATAATCGTACATGATACCTAGAAAATAAAGATTTAAATGACTTAGCATTATTATTATTTTTTTAATAAAATAT